CCCTACTTTTCCCTAGGAGTGCAGCCTTTCAGGATCCTAACCCAAAAAAGGAAGGTGGTTTACCAGGATTCTCACTGACATTTGGATTCCAATTTTTTTTAATCCTCACCCGAGGATATTTTTCTATTTATCTTCAGAGTGAGAGGGAGAGAAAGAAAGAGATAGGGAGAAACATCTACGTGAGAGGGACACATCAACTAATTGCCTCTTGCATGACCCCGACCAGGGCCAGGGATGAACCACAACCGAGGTACATGACCGTGGCTGGAATTGAACTCGCGACTCATTGGTCCCTGGGCCGATGCTCTAACCACTGAGCAACCAGCCAGGGCTTCAAGTCTAATTTTTGTCTCATTGACCATACACAGCCTATTTTCTTCCACCAATTCTGGATCAGCAAATGACCCCAGGGTAAAACAGTCCTATTGCTGGTCTCAACTCTGTTTTCCTGTTCTTTCATGCTCTAACACCAATAATTCATCACCATTGTACTAGTTCTTGATTTTTAAAAGTATTTCATCCAACGTTTTTACTTGTCTTCAGGTTGGACATTAGACAAATTTATTGATGGAGGAGCTGAATTATTAAATTAGATTTCTAGGCTCTGGGCGATTTTGCTCAATGGTTAGAGCATTGTCCATTCTCAACGAATGGGTCAATGTCACCTAGACTTCAGTTATTTGTACATTGTCTTCTCTTCCTGAAGACCAATGAATTCTACTTACAAAACATCTCCCTATAGTCAATTTATGCATTTAAAACTTTAAGAGGGTAGAGCTCATGTTAGTGTTCTTAACACATACACACACACACACAAAGACACAGGGGCCCTGGCTGGTGTGGCTCAATTGGTTGGAGCATCCTCCCATGCACTGAAGGATCACGGGTTTGATTCCTAGTTAGGGCACAAACTAGGTTTTGGGTTCAATCTCTGGTGAAGAGGTAACCAATCAATGTTTCTCTCTCTCTCTCTCTCTCTCTCTCTCTCTCACTCTCTTTCTCACTCTTTCTCTCTCTCTCTCTCTCTAATTAAAAAATAAGCAATCATATCCTTGGGTGAGGATTTTTTTTTAAAAAGGCACAAGGGAGCTTTTGAAAGTGATATGTTTATTACCTAGATATTGCAGTGATGGTTTCATGGGTATATACATATGTCCAAACGTATCAAATTTTATACTTTAAATATGTAGTTTACAGTGTATCAAGTATACCTCAATAAAGCTTTTTAAATCTCTCTAGTAAAAATGTTGAAGGAATTTTAAGATTTGATAAGCTATATCCTTCAAGCAATTTTATATTGTCTATGAGCTTTCTATTCTGTGATCTCTCCAACAGGTTGCCTAGTAGTGTACATGCAGGCTAACATTTCATCAAGGAAACTTTCCACATTCTCTAAAATTTTTTTTTTCTTTTATCTTCAGATAGAGCCGGAGGAAGAGAGAGAAAGAAACACATCGATTGATTGGTTGCTACCCACACGACCCCACTGGGGCGGGGACAAACTGCAACGGAGGTACATGCCCTTAGTGGGAACCCAATCCAAGACTCTCTGGTCTGCGGGCTGACGCTCTAACCGCTGAGCAAAACCACCAGGGCACTCTACAAAAATTTTTAAATAAAATTTTAAGTGGCTTGCTGCATATCAATAAAAAATTGACACATCAAAAAAAATAAGCCCTGGCCGGTTGGGCTCAGCGGTTAGACCACTGACTGGCGGACCAGAGTCCCCGGTTCGGTTCCGCTAAGGGCACATACCTCTGTTGCAGTTTGTCCCCGCCCCAGTTGGGGTCATGTGGGTGGCAACTACTGGATGTGTGTGTGTGTCTTTCTCACTCTCTTCCTCCCTCTCTCCCTCCCTATCTCTCCCGCTCTATCTGAGGATAAATGCAAAAGTCCTTGGGTGAGGATAATAAAAAATATATAATAATAATAATAATAAATCATGCCCTGGCCGGTTAGGCTCAGCGGTGGAGTATCGGCCAGTGGACCAATGAGTCATAGGTTCCATTCCAGCCAAGGTAACGTACCTAGATTGCAGTTCAGTCCCTGGCCCTGGTCAGGTCACCTGGGAGGCAACCAGTTGATGTGTCCCTCTCACATCCATGTTTCTCTCTCTCTCCCCCTTTCTCTCCCTCTCTCTGCCTCCCACTCTGTCTGAAGATAAATGGAGAGAAGGCCTTGGGTGAAGATGAAAAAATAAATAAGTATAATAAATAGGCCCTGGCCAGTGTTGTTTAGTGGTTAGAGCGCCAGCCTGCACACTGAAGAGTCTTGGGTTTGAGTCTTGGGCACATACCTGGCTGCATGTTTGATCCCTAGCCCTGGTCCAGATACAGATGGGAGGCAACCAACTGTTTCTCTCTCTCTCCATTCCACTCTCTCTAGAAATCAATAACGAAAATATCCTTGGGTGAGGATAAAATCATCATCATCATCACCCTGGCTGGTGTGGCTCAATTGGTTGAGCTTCCTTTGTGCATAGAAAGGTTGCCAGTTGAATTCCAGTCAGGGCACATGCCCAGGTTGTGGATTCAATCCCCAGTTGGTGCCTGTGGGAGGCAGCCCATCAATGTTTCTCTCTCACATCGATGTTCCTCTCTCTCTAAAATCAATCAAAACATATAAATTAAATTTTTTTTTTTACAAAATCTCCTAATCTCCTATCCACTTCTATGGCCTCTGGAGCTCCCCTTAAAGGACAGACATGCCTGTCACACAAAAGCTTGCATAAGCTGTCCTCTGCTGCCCTTTCTTGCCTCTCCTCCTCAGCCATTCCAACATGTACACAAAATAACTCCTACTGTGATGCCAGGATGAACAGGGTGGAAGAACTGAGATGAACTAAACATCTCAAGGAGGTAATGGATGCTGGTTCCAGTTGACTGACTATGGATAGATGCAGGACCTGTGTTATCAGCTCTCCAGTATTTCAAAACAAGTCAGAATGCCAAATACTCATGTGCCAACTGCTGATTGTTTTATATTTTATTTTATTTTATTTTATTTTATTTTATTTTATTTTATTTTATTTTAAAGAAGGGACAGGGAGAGAAAGTAAGAGAGAAGCATCAGTGTGAGAAACACAGACAGGGATCAAATCCAAAATCCAGGTATGTGCCCTGACCAGAATTGAACCTGGTGACCCTTCAGTGCACAGGAGGACGCTCCAACTGAGCCACACCTGTCAAGGCCTATCTGCTGAATTTTAAGTTTGGGCTATTAAATTAAATATATAAAGAGAAAATGCCAGCCAAGCAAAACGTGCCTGCCATCTGAAGGTGGTCCCTAGGCTACTGTTTACTCCAAACATAAAAATATTCAAAATTCTCCTAAAATTCTATATATAGGAAACATACTTCAGTTTTGTGCTCTTTCTACACAGAATACCTTCCTCATCCTTCTATCTTTGTTGAATTATTTCTCTTTTGAGTTTTTCCTGGTCCCAAGGCAGGCAGAATATTTTTCATCTGGAACTCTTATTAATTTATCCATCTCTATATTGTAGTGATTAATGACATTACGTTATGACTGTATATCCCAAATAGAGCTCTTGAGGTACAGACTGCATATATATATTTCTCTTTTTGCCCTCGGCACCTAGCCGGTGCTTAATGCGTACTAGGTGCCCTGAAACTGTTTGAACAGAACAGGTTTACTGACCTTGGGTCCTGGCCTAGGCGCGGGTTGGAGAGGTTGGTGGCACAAACCGTCAATGACGCCTGCTGACCAGTAGAGGGCAGACTGATTCCACAGCGGTCGGGACCAGATGCCCAGCGGTCAAGTGCCCCCAAACTAGCTCCTCCGCTGGTCATTTCCAACACTATTTCTCACCCCCACCTCAAACCCCATTTTAACAACCCTTCTCAACACAACACACACACACACACACACAGTTACATTCCTCTTTTCTCTCCAGCCACCCAAACGCTCTCCCTCCACTACCTACAAACCTTTGAGAACTAAAGAGTTAACTCCGCCCTTCCACCTGGTTCTTTTTCTCCGCTGATTCCCTTAATGGAGGTAATGGGGGTTGAGGGGCGTCCTAGATGGACTGGGTCACTGGGGCTCTGGGGTTCACCTACTTTAGCGTCTTTTCCAGAAACCCGTCACTCCCAGACACACACATCCACACACTCACACATTTTCCTGCCGAGGTCCCGACCCAGCACGTCTTTCCTCCCCAGAAGGAACCCAGGAGAAGGGGAGGGAAAAGGTAAGAGCGCAAGAGGCTTCCGGCTGCTCCCACACACTTCTCTGTTCAGTCCCCCTTCCCATCCCCGAGAGGGAGCCCCTTCCGAGGGGGCCGCCTTCCTGAGGGGGACGTTGGGCAGCTGAGAAGCGGGAAGAGGGTCTAAGGAGACACGCTCCGAAGGGGGTTCGGGAAAGCCCGCGACTTGGGGGCGGGGAGGAAAGAGTTAAAGATCCAGGATTGGCTCAGCTGTCACTGAGTCTGGGAGGGGAAGCGTCTAACGGGGAGGGTTTGGAGCTTGGCTCGGGTCCTCCCCACCCCCCACCCGCCGGCAGTCAGAGACTTGGGCCGGCCGGACGCCTCTTCTGGCAGACTCTGGGGCCGCGCTCCCGCACGCACACAGCACTCACCCCCCTTTCCCCTCCCTAGTACCATCTCCCACCTTCTGTCCGGAGCCCCAGCAAGCACTCTTTTTCTCTCTCCTAACACACACACACACACACACACACACACACGCACACACACGCACACACACGCACACACACTCTCTCTCTAGCTCCCTCGGGTCCCCTCCGCTCCGGCGCTCCCCTGCTCGCGCCCACCTGCTCCGCAGCGCCCTCCACGCACCTCGCCGTCCCACGGCCAGCCGGGAGTCCACCCGCCCTCCCGCCCGCCGCGCACCCGTGGTGCTCCTGACCGTGACCGTCGCAGCTAGAGGGGACTGAGTGCCCCGGGGTGAGCGCCCCCGCCCCGCTCCGCCTCACTCCCACCCGGGAGCGCCCTGAGCCCGAGGGGACCGCGGAGGCCATGGTGGGAGTCCTTGCCCACCGCGGTGCCCTCTGAGGCCATGCCGCGCCCCGGGTGCCCCACCGGCGCCCGCTTGCGCCTCCTGCTGCTCCTGCCGCCGCTGCTACTGCTCCGGAGCAGCCATGCGGGCAACCTGACGGTGGCCGTGGTGCTGCCGCTAACCAACACCTCATACCCGTGGTCGTGGGCGCGCGTGGGTCCGGCCGTGGAACTGGCCCTGGCCAGGGTGAAGGCGCGGCCCGACTTGCTGCCAGGCTGGACGGTCCGCATGGTGCTGGGCAGCAGCGAGGACGCGCGGGGCGTCTGTTCCGACACCGCCGCACCTCTGGCCGCGGTGGACCTCAAGTGGGAGCACGAGCCGGCCGTGTTCCTGGGCCCCGGCTGCGTGTACGCCGCGGCCCCGGTGGGGCGCTTCACCGCTCACTGGCGTGTGCCGCTGCTGACGGCCGGCGCCCCGGCGCATGGCTTCGGGGCTAAGGACGAGTACGCACTGACCACGCGCGCCGGGCCCAGCTACGCCAAGCTGGGTGACTTCGTGGCGGCGCTGCACCGACGGCTGGGCTGGGAGCGCCGGGCGCTCGTGCTCTACGCCCAACAGCATCCTGACGACAAGCGCTGCTTCTTCGTAGTGGAGGGACTGTACATGCGGGTCTCCGACCATCTCAATATCACGGTGGACGACCTGGCGTTCGCCGAGGGCGACCTCAACTACTACTCCCAGCTGCTGCGGACCGTGCAGCGCAAAGGCCGAGGTGAGCGGGCACACGGGTCCGCCGCTTTGCCCCTGAGCTTCTGTAACCCTTCGGAGGTTTCAGGTTTCGGGATGTCCTCTATTATCTCGGGCCAGTCTTTCTCCTCCTCCTCCTCGCGGCTCCTCATTCTTGTCTCAGCCTCTTTGGCTGTCTCCATTTCTGAGTTTCTATTTCCTTCTCTTTCTCCATCCCCGTCTCTCCCCGTTTCTTTGCTCCTCTCCCTTCTCACCTCACTAACTCCTCCATCTCCTTCCTGCCTACTAGGAAGTTAACGGGAGAGAAGGGATGCCTGCTGCCACCCTGTTACTTAGTAGGTCCCTGGCCTAGTTTCCATTCTTTTCTCACCCATTTTCTGTCTCTTCTCAACAGCTTTGTTCCCTCCTCCATCTTCTCTCATTGCTCCCACACACCAGCTCTTTTCCAGTCCCCTCTATAACTGGCCCTCCTCTCCCTCCAGCCTCCCCTCCTGACCTCCTGACCCCACCTTCCCCACCTTCAGCTGGGCTGTTCCTACTCCCCCTACCTCAGCTCCTTTTCCCCTCCCACCTCCTCCTCCCACATCTTCTCCATCTTTCTCCTGCCACAGCCTGGACTGAGTGAGACAGGAGTTCCACTTAACTTTCACAGATTCTCTGAACGTCGCGCATAGGTGCCCCAGCTTCCCTACCTGAAGATTTCCTCCCTCCTCCAAGACGTAGGCTTTTCTCTCTGACTCCCCCACTCTTCCTCCCCAGTTATCTACATCTGCAGTTCCCCAGATGCCTTCAGAACCCTGATGCTTCTGGCCCTGGAAGCTGGCCTGAGTGGAGAGGACTATGTTTTCTTCCACCTGGATCTCTTTGGGCAAAGCCTGCAAGAAGCTCATGGCTCTGCTTCCCACAGGCCCTGGAAGAGAGGAGATGGGCAGGATGTCAGTGCCTCCCGAGCCTTTCAGGTGAGTGTCCAGATGAGAAGCCCAGGCTCTGGGCAGTGGGTCCTGCAGTGTCTGAAAGGATTCTAGAAAAGAGGTTCTTGATGCTCACAGGGAGTTAGGTGATAAAAGGTAGAGGTCTGGGTCAAGGAGTATATGGAGGGCCAGGGAACTCAGAGCCAGGAGGATAAAAAGATTTGAGAATGGGCTTGAGGTAGAAGGATGTTCAAGTCGCGTAGACTAACTGGATTTGGAGAAGCCATCCCTTTGGATCCCCTGCTTTGGAGCAGACAGCACCTCACCCAGGACACGGGGTCCAGTTTGACCTTAAGCTAACCAGAGATGCAGCTCTGAGGGGTGGACTCCAGCTCACCCCTCTCCGCTGACCCCTTCCTCAGGCTGCCAAAATCATTACATATAAAGAGCCAGATAATCCTGAGTACTTGGAATTCCTGCAGCAACTAAAACCCTTGGCCCATGAGCAGTTCAACTTAACCATGGAGGATGGCCTGGTAAGAGAGGGTCCTGGGACCCTCCACTGTGGACTTCCAGCCCCCACTCCATGGCCCTCTGCCTGTCTCCACCTTGTTCTCTCAGCCATCCCAGTAGCCCCAGATCTCCCCTTCTTTCCCTTCCCACTGTTTCTGTATCTCTCCTGGTGAGGGGGGTGGGGTATGGCATTGACAAGTTGTTCAACCTCTGAATCTCAGGTTCTCACAGTCAAATGCGGACTATTTGTCCTCCCCTATTTGGCTATCAGAATTTGAAGTGGTGGAATATGCAGAGGCATCTTATCAGTAGCAAAATCTCTCTGTCACATGGGGCTGCTTTCTTCCATCCTCTTTCAAGCTCCCAGCACCTCCCATGTCCTCCCCACAGCACCCCAGTCTGTACCCTTCACGTATCCTACCCCAGCTTGGCTGTGCTGGTCCCTGCAGGTGAACACCATCCCAGCATCCTTCCACGACGGGCTCCTGCTCTTTGTCCAGGCAGTGACAGAGACTCTGGCACATGGGGGAACTGTCACCGATGGGGAGGGCATCACTCAGCGGATGTGGAACCGAAGTTTCCAAGGTCAGGGCCTGGAGGTGGCAAAAATGGGCTGACCTGGGGTGCACCAAGCAGCAGGCCATGAGAAGCCTGTAGTCACTCTCCCATGCCAATCTTCTGCTGCTTCCTGTAGGCTCTCCTGCCCCATTTCCCTAGCTCCATCAAGAAGTCCTTCTAAGTGTCCAGCCGCAATCCCTAGTCATTCCTGCTGCTGGAGTGTCTGCCCCTTGTGTGTGTGTGTGTGTGTGTGTGTGTGTGTGTGTGTGAGTGTTTGGAGGGTAAGGCAGAAAAAAATCAAGGGATGCAGATGAGGTAAGAGGTGTCCCTGAACTTCCTTACTTTCTTCAAAACATAGCCATCTTTCTCCATGCCCCCAGGTGTGACAGGATACCTGAAAATAGACAGCAATGGAGATCGAGAGACTGACTTCTCCCTCTGGGATATGGATCCTGAGACTAGTGCCTTTAGGGTAAGGCTGTGCCTAGAGAAGATGGTGCCAACTGAGAAAGACATCTTGCCCTTCTGTCTTCCCCCCACCCTGCCAGGGCATCTGTCTACTCTGTAGTTACCTACTATGCTTGATCACTTATGGGGAGCCCTGGATTAGAGGGATCTGCTCTAGTCTGGGGGAGTGACCAGAATGATAGGGACTCATGGGCATTATCCTTGGGGAACCCCATGTCTGAGGAGGGAGCGCAGCCCTTCCCTCAGGAAGTCCAGTGTCTCCTAAGGTCAGCAGAACCCCTCCCACATAGACAGACAGCCAAGATGAATACACATTGCACAGCTCTAAGTGCAGTCACAAACAGGAAGGGATTGAGCACAGGCTTCAAGGAGCAGATCACCCAGGGAAGGCTTCCTGGAGGAAGGGTACATGGATTAGTCCTGGAATGTGGACTGAGAATACTGCTTTTTCCTGTTTTCTAGGTGCTTCAACCTATAAACTCCCTGAGTATAGGGCTAGGGTTCTATGTGGAATTTTCTTTGTGTGGAGTTTTTCCTAAATGGAGTGTTTTGTTTTTGTTTTCCCTTGAAGTGTTTTCAAGTTATTCTACTCTAATAACATGAGGCACGGGTATGAGGTCTCTCTGTATCCACTCAGAGTAGGGGTCTGTTACATAGTTGACAGCCTGGAAGCAGAGATGGGGTAGGTGGGAGGCAGGACTGTTCCACAGGACAGGAGGCCTTGCCCACCCACCACTCCTGCCCTCCCTCCCACAGGTCGTTCTGAACTACAATGGGACTTCCCAGGAGCTGGTGGCAGTGTCAGGGCGCACACTGCACTGGCCCCTAGGATACCCACCTCCTGACATCCCCAAATGCGGTTTTGACAACGAGGACCCCATCTGCAACCAAGGTGCCTGCCCCTTGCAATCCAGGCCTCCATTCTGGAGATGCTGCTTCCCTCACATGGAGTCAAATAAATGCTCCTCTCCCACACTGAGAGTTTTCTGGAGAGACTCTTGCCGTTTTCTTCCCTTCATCTATCATCCTAGTTCACTGGTTAACTATTAGAAGATTCTTCCTCCTGCTGTCTAACCAAAATCTTTCTTGCTGCAACTCGGACTCTCTTCTACAGCCCACTTTTCCACCCTGGAGGTGCTGGCTTTGGTGGGCAGCCTCTCTCTGCTCAGCATTCTGATCGTCTCCATCTTCATATACAGGTGAGCCTTGGGATGAGGGTGATGAGTGAGGCTGGAAGACCCGGAGAGAACCAATCTCAGGGAAGGTGGCAGGGACCCAGAGGAAAGGGGAAGGGGGAAGAGGTGAGGGCACAGCATGAGAAGGCCGATGGATATAGGGAAGAAAAGAGATTTAAAAGCCTAGGATCCTCCCTGGCTAGTTAGCTCAGTGGTTAGAGCATCAGCCTGTGGACCAGAAAGACCTGGGTTCGGTTCCTGCTAAGGGCATGTACCTCGGTTGCATCGATGTTTCTCTCTCTCTCTTCTTACCTCTCTCCCTCCCACTCTATCTGAAGATAAAAATGCACAAAAATAAAATAATAAAATAAATAAAAGCCTTAGGACCCAAGAAAGAAAGGAGGAGGAGGAGACAGGGATAGGAGTGGCCAAGGAGAGTGTGGTGATCCCAGAGGAGAAGAGCAGTTGGGGGAGTGGCATCATAAAGGCCTGGATTTTGGCCCAGGGGCTGGTTTGTCCTCCCTACTCTTGCAGACGGGATGAGAAGCAATGGTTCAGACCCTTTGGGATTGGGCCCCTATTATCAGGACAGGGATGATGAGCCCTATGTGCCCCAAGAGAGATAAAGGAGCGCTGTTCCTGCCTTCCTGAGGAGCTGAACAAAAGTTCAGGAGAAGTTGAGGATAGAGGGTAGCAAGGAGAGAGGGAAGCAAATCAATGCTGGTCGATCATATGCTATGTGCAGACACTTCCACACAATATTTCTTTTCATTCTTATAACAATGCTTTTGAAATACATATTGAGGTTCCCAGTTTCCAAATGAGGACATTTGGACATGAAGACATGAGACTCAAAGAAATGAAGTGACTACCCCAAGCTCCCAGTGAGGCAGAATTTTACCCAAGTCTCCTGACTTTCATCCCAGAGGACAATCCTGAAATCTGTCTCAGCACATAGCATAGCAGTGGGGCTCTGTCAGCACATGCAGTGGTCCCAGGGCTCTGAAAAGGGGCTGTGGGACAGAGCACCCTCGCCCTGGGTCAGGGGCTCAGGTGCAAGTTTCATGCCCCAGGAAGATGCAGCTGGAAAAGGAACTGGCCTCGGAGCTGTGGCGGGTGCGTTGGGAAGACTTGCAGCCCAGTAGCCTTGAGAGGCACCTGCGGAGTGCAGGCAGCCGGCTGACCTTGAGTGGGGTAAGAACACTGATATTGGGGGGTTGGGTGGACAGCTGGGTACAGGGTGGGGGAGGGCAGTGCCTGATAGGTAGGAGAGAGAGCAGGGAGCAGGGTTCTAATCCCATCTGTCTTCACTTGCTGTGTGACCTTGGGCAAGTCAGTCCCTCTCTGAGACCATCTCAAATAATGATTCCATGTACAGAACCTCCCTCAGAGGACCCTTCCAAAGGTCCAAGATCGTATATGTGAAAAATACATTAAAAGTAAATGAGGAGAGGATCTCATGATGTGGAATGAGAAGCAGGGTGACACAAATAAAGCAGGGTAGTAAAGACCAGAGCTCAAGCCACCAGCAGGGAGACCTGGGTCCATGGTTGGACCCATGGGCTGACCATCCCTCCTGTTCTCCATCCCTTCAGAAAGGCTCCAATTATGGCTCCCTGCTCACCACAGAGGGCCAGTTCCAAGTCTTTGCCAAGACAGCGTATTATAAGGTGGGCCTGGGGACTGGGGTAGTGTGCTCTCTGACAGAGGACTAGGGAGGGTCCTGGAGTCATGGATGGACTGTCAGGAGCAGTTGGAGTTCCCAGGGCATTGGGCCATCTCCTCACAGTAACAGTCTCCATTCCTTGCTCAGGGCAACCTTGTGGCTGTGAAACGTGTGAACCGTAAACGCATTGAACTGACCCGAAAAGTCCTGTTTGAACTGAAGCATGTAATGTGGGGGACTGAGGCAGTGTCCTGGGGAAGGGTCCCAGGGGGACACAGGGGAGGTTGGCCGACAGCACTGGTTATGGAGGGACATCAGGGTTATCTGCAGACCTGGGATGAACCTTAGCATATTATGTGTGAAAGGAGGGGGTCATAGATGGGGAAAGGACAACTGGAGAGATCCCCAGGGGGTATACTTGATGCCTCTGGGTGGTGGACGGCTCTAGGGGGCAGAGGGAGTAGGGAGCAGATTTGGGGGGAAGGTGGGTGGGCTGAAGAACAAGGGTAGGAATCACCAGGGAAGGTCCTAGAATGTCTGGAGAATGAATAAGAGTTAAGAAGTGTGAGGGGTCATTGAGAGTGGGGGATAGCTAGAGGAGAGAAGTCTCTGTCAGGCTCCTGATGCTGGCTCCCACCTGCAGATGCGGGACATACAGAATGAACACCTGACCAGGTTTGTGGGCGCCTGCACCGACCCCCCCAACATCTGTATCCTCACAGAATACTGTCCCCGTGGGAGCCTGCAGGTGAGGGGAAAAGGGGGTATCAGGAAACCTGAGTCTAGCCCTAGCTGTGATCCTGACTGGCCATCTGACCCTAGGCAAGCCTCTCCCTCTTTCTGACCTTTATTTGCCCATCTGTAAAATGGGAGTCTGGGAGGGCAGTGGCACTAGAGTAAATGCAAAGCTTTGTCCTGTTCTGCCACTTTATGGCAGTAGGACCCCTGCACTCCTCTCTGGGTGGCAGTCTACAGGGCACAGGTCTGACTCTCACTGCCCAGCAGGATATTCTGGAAAACGAGAGTATCACCCTGGACTGGATGTTCCGATACTCTCTCACCAATGACATCGTCAAGGTAGGTCCAGGAGAGCCCATTGGATGAGGGGGAGTCATACTTCTCTGGCTGTGATTGTAAGTCCCACTCATACTCAAGACTCCTGCCTCCCATATTCTCCAGGGGATGCTGTTCCTGCATAATGGGGCCATTTGCTCCCATGGGAACCTCAAGTCATCCAACTGTGTGGTAGATGGTCGATTTGTGCTCAAGATCACTGACTATGGGCTGGAGAGCTTCAGGGACCCAGAGCCAGACCAAGGACACACCCTCTATGCCAGTGAGCTCAGACCCACTCTGTCCCCAACCCTGACCGAAGCCCAGCCCAGGGAGACCGATGCCTGGTCTCTGATGGGCGTGGGTACACCTTTCCTGACTCTTGCTCAGTTCATCCACCAGTTGAAAGAGGAGTCAGATGAAGTGGTCTCCAGGCCTCTTCTAGCTCTAGCACTGGGTTTGGTGTCCCCAGATCAGTCCCAGCCAAATCTAGCTACATCTTTGTTTCCCTTTAGCTTTGGGGCCCTTCACCCTGTGACTCTGACTCTGACCCACAGAAAAGTTGTGGACAGCCCCTGAGCTCCTGCGAATGGCCTCGCCCCCTGCCCGGGGCTCCCAGTCTGGTGATGTCTATAGCTTTGGGATCATCCTTCAGGAAATTGCCCTGAGGAGTGGCGTATTCCACGTGGAAGGTTTGGACCTCAGCCCCAAAGGTGAGAGGACCATGCTGTCCCCTAGCCCTGTCTCAGTCTCAACTAACCTCAGCCCCAGAGAGAGACATCTGGAAATACCACCACATTTTCCTTCTGCAAAGCTCAGCCACCTCCTGGTGCTCCTTTGTTGCCAGTGACCCTGATGCATGACTGGCCAAGTTCCCTACAGGGCTCGCCTGCCCCATGCCCTGGTCCTGACCTTCTCCACCCCATCTCTGAACAGGCCCTTGGCTGACCAAGCCACTGAACCCCTTTCCCCCCACCACACAGAGATCATTGAACGTGTGACTAGGGGTGAGCAGCCCCCCTTCCGGCCCTCCTTGGCCCTGCAGAGTCACCTGGAGGAACTGGGGCACCTGATGCAGAGGTGTTGGGCTGAAGACCCGCAAGAGCGGCCGCCTTTCCAGCAGATCCGCCTGATGCTGCGCAAGTTCAACAGGTGCTGGCCTTAGTCATGGAGCACCCCCCAGCCTTCCCTGGCCCCTCCACTGCCATAAAGCCCACACTTAAGTCTCATCCCAATATGCCAAGTTGCGGGTTCAATCCCTGGTCAAGGCACATACAAGAATCAACCCATGAATGCATAAATAAGTGGAACAACAAATTCTCTCCCTCTCTCTCTCTCTCTCTCCCCCTCTCGCCCCCTCCCTCCTTTTCTCTCTCTATTTAAAATTTTTTTTAAAAATCTCATCTCTCCAGTGGCAGAGGGAGCCACTCTTTAAATAGCCTACTGCAGCCACCACAGCCTTACAGTCCGCAATGTGAATACTGTATGACCCAGCTGTTCCCACCGTCCCCTACCTCTCATACCCTTCTCCTCCAGCAATACAGCCACCCCACACCCTTCCTGCCCAGCCCCCAGGGTCCCTAGTCTTCACTGGTGTGCAGAGTAAATGGGGCTTCTCCGCCCTCCACAGGAGCTCCCACCCCACCCTGTGAACTCCCTTTCCCCCTGTGCCTCCCTGGGGTCCAGTGCCTCCAGACACACCACTGAGCCTGTGTGCCCTCCTGCTGTTCTCAGTCAATCCCTGTCCCTTTCCACCTCCTCTGCCTCCTTCTAACACACTGTTCATCAAAGTTGAACAAAATAGCCAGTATGCCTAAAGCTTCATACTTGACCCTGATGTCTCAAAGATGAACTGGATTTTCCTCCTACCCTTTTCCCCTGCCACCCCATCTTGCCGTGCCCCTTAACCCGGACCCTCTCCAGGGTCCCCAGTGCAGTTGGGAAGTGGATTGACATTAAGCCTGGGTAAGGTGAAGGTCTGGGGTGGGCACTGTCTCACCCCTGCCTGCTGTCCCCTGGCCCTCAGAGAGAACAGCAGCAACATCCTGGACAACCTGCTGTCCCGCATGGAGCAGTACGCCAACAACCTGGAGGAGCTGGTGGAGGAGCGCACCCAGGCCTACCTGGAGGAGAAGCGGAAGGCTGAGGCCCTGCTCTACCAGATCCTGCCTCAGTGAGTGCCCAGTCTGGTGACACGCCCTGCCCCTCCTGTTCCGGCCCCATCTCACCCTCTGATCCCTGACCCCTCAGCTCAGTGGCTGAGCAGCTGAAGCGCGGGGAGACAGTCCAGGCGGAAGCCTTTGACAGCGTTACTATCTACTTCAGTGACATTGTGGGTTTCACAGCCCTGTCAGCTGAGAGCACGCCCATGCAGGTGAGTCAGGGAGCTGCCACAAATGAAGACCAGGTAGGTATGCTGGGCTTAGCATCTCCACCCCATAGGCCTGCCTTCTGGTTTCGCTTTTTCCACCCAAGCTTAGGTGGAGTCCCTACTCCCCGCCCCCTTTGCCTCTCTTCCTTTCCAGGTGGTGACCCTGCTCAATGACCTGTACACTTGCTTTGATGCGGTGATAGATAACTTCGATGTGTACAAGGTGAGAGTGGTAGTATGGGCGGGAAGGGGCAGGGTCAGAGAAAGGTGAAAGGAAGAATGAAATAGAATTATTTAAGAGGAGACCAAGGCGCATGGGGAGACACTGTCACAAGGAGACCCAGGAACAGGCAGAGAAGCCACGCCGGGTATGGGGGATGGAGGATGAGGAGAGCCAGTGACTGGCGGATGAGGGTTCAGAATGACAGTGCACGAGGCTGTGGGGGCGGCATAAGGAAAACAAAGTTTCAGCCCTCATGTTCTGCACTCTCTCCCCACCCTCACAGGTGGAGACGATCGGCGACGCCTACATGGTGGTGTCTGGACTCCCGGTGCGGAATGGGCGGTTACACGCACGCGAGGTGGCCCGCATGGCCCTGGCGCTGCTGGACGCTGTGCGCTCTTTCCACATCCGCCACCGGCCCCAGGAGCAGCTGCGCTTGCGCATCGGCATCCACACGGGTGAGGCCGCCAAAGGCGCGGGGAGGGGGCTCCCGAAGGCTGAGCTGCTGAAACAGGCTTGTTCCCTCCGGCCTCACATCGCAGCTCCCGACTCTCCAGGAGGGCGCTAGATCCGCCCTGTTGCCCCTCCTCCGCCCCCCTAAGTACCTCTCTTAACACCCTCCTGCCCCCTCGCTGACGGGCTCCCGCTCCCTCCAGGACCTGTGTGTGCCGGTGTGGTAGGGTTGAAGATGCCCCGTTACTGTCTCTTTGGGGACACAGTCAACACGGCCTCAAGAATGGAGTCTAACGGGGAAGGTACAGTGGCCCCCTAAACGGGATGGGAGGGCAGGGTAGCTAGAGCCAAGGAAAGTCCTCTGGACAGCTTGTGCCTGTCCAGTTCCTGGCCCAGCTCCTAACCCTCTCTCCTTCCAAGCTCCCTCTGATAAGGGGAGCAGATCATCTTGAATAAAATCAGAGACTCAGATCCTAGCAGTCCTGTCTTTCCAGGCCAGTGTTCACAGTTCCCAGCAGGAGTCCCACCTTTAGAGTCCCTCTGCTTCCCTTGGGTGTGGCAAAGAAGACTCAAGAGCTGCCCATCTGGGTGTGAATCTCAGCTCTATATCTAACCCAGCTGGGTGTCGATTAGCTACAGCACTCTGAGTCTCAGTTTTCCTCACCTGTAAAAATGAGAATAAAATATCTGCCTCATTAGAGTTATATGAGGAAGCCATGTAACATGAGGAGCACATAATTGTCATTCAACTTTTCTGAGCTTCAGCTGTTTATCTGTAAAATGATGTCTGTCTCAGGTTGTAAAAAAACATAGTACAGCCCTGGCCGGTTTGGCTCAGCAGTTAGAGCATCGGCCGGAAGACCAGAGTCCCGGGTTTCGGTTCCCGCTAAGGGCATGTACCTCGGTTGGAGTTTGTCCCTGGCTCTGGTTGGGTCGTGCAGGAGGCAGCTACTCTATGAGTCCCTTTCACGTTGATATCTCTCTCTCTCTCTCTCTCTCTCTCTCTCTCTCTCTCTCTCTCTCTCTCCCTTCCATGCTATCTGTCCAAAAAATGGAAAAATGTCCTCAGGTAAGGATAAAAAATAAAAAAAAACCTAGCACAGCCCCTGACATACAGTAGGTACCTACTAAATGCTTGTTCCCACCTCTTTGTTTGGTCCTACTTCCTGTTGATCTTCTGCCTTCCTGCTGCATTCAACACAATTCAAATAGGTAAAAATTTATTGAGCAACTTGTGAGTTCCAGGCCCTGGGACTGGAATACTGAGACAACCCAGACCCACAGCTAGCTGGATAGTCCATGTGGACCCCATCCAAGCCTTATGGCAGAAGAAGGGCTACTTAGAGCCAAGAGGAGCTCTGGTTTAGTAGATATTCCCTGGGCACTGTGTTCGGGGCTGTCTGGGTAGGAGAAAGCCTCTCACCAAGGTCCAGTCCTCAAGGTCCATTCTCAGAAATGGTTAAACAGCAGAACAGGGCCCCTGTGATGCAGACCCCAGGAGTGGTGGGAGTGAGTTCAGAGAGAGAAGGGGTGTGGGGATACCTGATCAGCCGTCAGGAGGCCTAGCAGCCTGACCTTAGCAGCCTGGGAAGATCTCTCCTGGGCCTCAGTTACCTCAGTTAGAAAATGAGGGTGGTGAGATTAAATAACTGATAGCAACCAATGATATAGCACTTCCTATGTGCCAGATTCTGTTTACTTTTTTTTGTTTTGTTTTTTTCGATCCTCACCCGAGGATATTTTTTCTTTCTTTCTATTTATCTTCAGATAGAGTGGAAGAAAGGGAGAGAGAGAGAGAGAGAGAAATATCGATATGAGAGGGATACATCGACCGCCTCCCACACAACCCCAACCAGGGCCAGGAATAAACTGCAACCGAGGTACATACCCTTGGCCAGAATAGAACCTGCGACTCATTGGTTCGTGAGCTGATGCTCTACCCACTGAGAAAACCGGCCAGGGCTCTGTTTACTTTTTGAATGTTAAATTTAATTCTCACAACAATGCTCTGAGATGGGTACTGTCACTGTCAGCACTTTACAGACTAGGAAAATGAGACCCAGAGAGTTCATGTTACCTCCCAAGCAAGCATTCACATTGGCATTCATACTAGGCAGAGCAGGACCCAAAGTCTGAGCTCCTGACTACTGTACTGTAAACTCTGTCTAGAGCCTGGTGATGCTCTAAAGTGTTGCCCAAAAGAACTGTCTGCAGTGACGAAACTGCTCTCTAATCTGCTGTTCAATATGGTAGCCTTTGTCACAGGAGGCTATTGATCATATAAAAGGTGGTCTTGCAACTGAGGTACCAAACTTTACTATATTTAGTTTTCTTTTGTTTTTTATCCTCCTCATCCGAGGACATTTTTCCATTTTTTTGTTCAGATAGAGTGGGAGGGAGAGAGAGAGAGAGAAACATCAACATGAAAGGGACACATAAAGTGGCTGCCACCCGCACCACCCAACCAGGGCCGGGGACAAACTGCAACCAAGGTACATACCCTTAGGCTGCAACCAAGGTACATACCCTTAGCGGGAACTGAACCCTGGTCTCTCTGGACCGCAGGCCAACGCTCTAACCCCTGAGCCAAACCAGCCAGGGCTCTTTGTTGTTTTTTTGTTAATCCTCATCCAAGGATATTTTTTCCATTGAATTTTAGAGTGGGAGGGAGAGACAGAGAGAAGGAGAAACATTGATTGGTTGCCTCCCACACGCATCCCACTCGACCAGGGCAGGGATTGAACCTGCAACCCAGGTATCTGTCCTTGACCAGGAATCGAACCCATGACCTGATGAACCACACCAGCCAAGGCCAGTATTTAGTTTTAATTAATTTAAATTTAAGTAGCTACATGTGACTCTTTGATACCAGAATGGATAATACAGCTCTCAAGTTCTAGGGGGGAGGCCAGTATAGTCAGACACCACATGGAGAGGGTGGGACTTGGAAGCTTCCTGGACCAAAAAAGGAGAGAGCATCTTTCTACCTGCATATCCCCTGATTTCCTCTGCTCTCTTCTCTTGCATCCCTCACCTTCCCTTCTTCTCTCTATTCTACTCAGCCCTGAAGATCCACTTGTCTTCTGAGACCAAGGCTGTCCTGGAGGAGTTTGGTGGTTTCGAGCTGGAGCTTCGAGGGGATGTAGAAATGAAGGTAAAGAAGGAAGCCCCTATCCTCACCATCCCTTGGGGTCCCAGAGGGGACTATCCTCCCCCAGGCCCCTTCTCAAGCAGCCACTCCAACTCCCATCAATTGGGAAAGTGGGCTTGCCACTCCCCATCCCAACTTCCTCTTCTTTTTCCCTCCAGGGCAAAGGCAAAGTTCGGACCTACTGGCTCCTGGGGGAGCAGGGGAATAGCACCTGAGGATGACCTGCCTCTCCTCCTGGACTTCCACACCTCCCTTCCCTGTGCCAGAAGTGACAGAGAGGTGCCAGGCCTCACCCTTGCCCACAGCAGCCCCACCATTGCCAAAGGATCAGAGAAGTGGTTTGAACAGCTCAGGTGTGCTCAGTCCAGTGGAGACACCACATATCACCTCTGAAAGAGGACTGGTGTGGGGGGAGAGAGAACTCGGAGCTTACATGACCAGACCAAAGCTCACAGTCGTGCCCAGTGGCACACACATAGGCACACACACCCACTATCCACCCTGACTCAGGACAGGCTGGGGTGTGGATTCCTGGATCCACCTGTCCCTCTCTGTGCCCTCCTCCCCCAGCCTTGCTACACTGTGATTTTTATGGTGAAGGGGAAGAGCCACCTTTGGGGGAATAGGAAAAGGGGCTACAGGTGAATCTAAGGGGTAGAGGGTGGTCCGTATCTGGGCCTAGCCCACATGTACCACAAATACCCCCCTATCTCCCACCACCCAATATTGATTCAGTGTGCAGGGAAGAGGTGTGGGATGGAGGGGCTGAAGGTCTGTATGCCTTGCTTCTCCTGTGATTGGAGACCATTAAAATCTTTATTCTAGTGGCAGTGTGTCTTCTTGAGGGGGAGAGAGGGTTGCCAGAAAACATAGCCGTGTTCTCCACCCTCTCTGTCAGATAAGACGTGTTTCTGAAGGTGGGAACAGCCTAGGAATTACCCAAGCAGAGCCAACACTTTTGATCCAAGGAACCACTTACATTCTTAAGAATTATTGCCCTGACCGGTTTGCTCAGCGGTTAGAGCGCCGGCCTGCGGTCCAGAGAGACCCGGGTTCGGTTCCCGCTAAGGGCACGTACCTCGGTTGCAGTTTGTCCCCGGCCCTGGCTGGTCGTGCGGGTGGCAGCCACTTGATGTGTCCCTTTCACATCGATGTTTCTCTCTCTCTTCCTCTTTCTCCCTTCTACTCTATCTTAACAAAAAAGTGGAAAAATGTCCTCGGATGAGGATAAAAAAAAAAAAAATTATTGAGGGCCCCGTAGAGCTTTTGTTTATGTGGGCTATATCTACCAATATATACCGTATTAGAAATTAAAATGCCCTATTAACTCTTTTAAAATAACTATAATAAACCCATCACATGCTAGTAACGTTTTACTGCTTTATCAAGAATATTCGCCCTGGCCGGTTTGGTTTAGTGGTTAGAGCATTAGCCTACAGTTCAGAGAGACCCGGGTTCAGTTCCCACTAAGGGCAGTTTATCCCCGGCCCCGGTTGGGTTGTGCAGGTGGCAACCACTCAATGTGTCCCTTTCATGTCAATGTTTCTCTCTCTCCCTTCCTCTCTCTCCCTCCCACTCTATCTGAACAAAAAATGAAAAAATGTCCTCGGGTGAGGATAAAAAGAAAAAAAAAAAGAACATTCTTTTTTTTTTTTTAATCCTCACCCGAGGATATTTTTACATTTATCTTCAGACAGAGTGGGAGGGAGAGAGAGGGAAACATCAATGGGAGAGAGACACATCGACAGGTTGCCACCCGCATGACCTCAACCAGGGCCGGGGACGAACCTCAACTGAGGTACGTGTCCCTGGCCAGAATCAAACCCAGGACTCTTTGGTCCGAAGGCCAAGGCTCTAACTGCTGAGCCAAACCGGCCAGGGCTCCAGAACATTCTCTCTTTTTTTTTGTTCCAGATAGAGCAGGAGGGAGAGAGGGGGGAAGAGAGAGAGAGAAACATGGATGTGAGAGAAACACATCGAGTGGTTGCCACCCATACAACCCCAACCGGGACTGGGGACAAACTGCAACCGAGGTACGTGCCCTTAGCAGGAACCAAACCTGGGACTCTCTTGTCCGAAAGCTGACACTCTAACTGCTGAGCCAAACTGGCCAGGGCTCAAGAACATTCTTAAGAGAAACTGGCCTTTTTTTTTTTTTTTTACTGCTAATACGTGGTAATGAAGACTTTAGTAACTAGTTTGGTGCTACTGCTTTGATTATGCTAAGACATCAGCAGTTTCACACACGCGTGCGTGAGCACACACCTGTTACTTTCACACCCTTGGTGCAAATAACACAGTCAATAAGGCATGTACTGGTAGGAGCATGAAAATCAGGAGCAGGAAAAGAACTATGGACTGACTGGAGAGCTCTGGCATCTCTTGCCCTAGGAAGCCTGGGAGCCAAGAAGGAGCAATGGGGGTGGGAACATATGGATTCCTTTTTAACTCAGTTGAGATTTCCGGCTTGTCCACATGTCCCTCCATTCCCATGCCAGTGTAGACAAATGTGAGTGATAGTTTGCAAAATGACTTTCAGCTGGGCTAATGCCTACCACCCCACCCCACCCCATGTCCCAGCTCCAGCAGCTCACCCCATGCCTTCCTGAGCAGGCAGGCAGGCAGGAATGCAGATGAGGGGGAGAGGTGGCTACAGCTTCACCTCCCCCCAGGGAAAGAAAGTGCCAGACATTTCTTCAGTACCATCCATCAAGTGCAGACAGGCTCCACCTCCCACCTCCCCAAGCCTCTCTTCCTGGAGTCCACACCCAGTGGGGCCTGGAGGTAGGGGTGGGCAACTTGGAGGTCTGCCTTCAGGGCAGTGCTCCCTGATACACAAGTGGTGGTCTGGGCTGAAGAAAGGATAAATTGTTCTCTCTCTTGTCCAGTGAGCTTTTTGATGTTCTGTGCTCCCTACCCACCCTTTTTGGCCTTAGTCAGATTTGACTTATTGGGAGAGTGAGCTTGCATGGTCAAGTCCTCACCCTCCTCAGCTGGGGATGAATAGCACTGAGAAGGCTTAACAGAAAAATGGTTGCCCTGGTAACCCCAGCATACTCAACTTCGTGGTGGGCCCTGGGGTCCACCTTGACTCCCATGCCCCAGTTCCTCCTCCCAAAGGTAGTCACCAGAATAGAGTGGGTATGCCAAAGAAAACTGGGGCTCCAGAAGTTGGGCGTGGGGCTGGGTATCTGAAGAAATAGGGCTTTGGGGAAGGGAGACTGGAAGAGGTGCTGTGGGGAAGGGGGGCGGGGCCGAATGACTGAGGAGCTCCAGTAAGACAATTCTAGGAAATTGCCGGCCAGATCCTTCCGGGGCAGCCTGGCTCCGCTGCTGGCGCTCGAGGGGAGGGCGCTGGGGGTGGGTGTCAGGAGAGGCCCTAGGAGTGGATGATTTCAGCAGCTCCAGAACTTTCACTGGAATTGAGGAGATTTCCTTCCGGAGGAAGGTCCCTGAAGCCAGGAAGAACTGGGAAAGCCATTACCGAGGGGTGGGGGGGTCAGAGGGTAACGATAGCCTCTCTCCTCCAAGTCCGGGTGGCAGATTTGCGCCAGGAACCACCGCCCACGTGGGAGGGGCAGTCTGGCCTCCCAGTTTCCCCGACTGTCCTGCTGAGTGTGTCTGGGAGGGGTGAGAGGGCAACAGGGTTTCCCTGGAGTATGATAAGAATAATAACAACAGTAATCACTGGCATTGAGTTAGTTGTGCCTTGCAGTTGACACAGGCTTTCACATACATTAGCTCATCAGTCCATGTGACACCCTTGGAAGGGGAGGGCACAGGCCGCGCAGCTGCGGGTAGGAGGGCCCACTGTAGACTGTGCAAAGGGAACTCCAGCCCAATCAGCCCTACACCAGGCTGGGGCCTTGAAAAAAGGAAAGTTGACAAGACAAATGTCCTCTTCCTCACCCCTTCTTTCTCTATGTCAAAGAGCTTGGGTAATTTATTACAGCAGTACATTAAGTAATAATTTTTTTAAAAAATTATGTTTTTATTGACTTGAGAGAGAAAGGAAGAGAGAGATAGAAACATTGGAGAGATCCGCTGCCTCCTGCACGCCCCCTACTGGGGATCGTGCCCACAATCCAGGCATGTGCCCTGACCAGGAATGAACAGGGACCTCTCAGTCCAGGGGACCAGCTCAATCCACTGAGCCACACTTGCTGGGCAGTAATACTTTTTAAAAATGTTTTTTATTGGTTTTAGAGAGATAAAGAAAGAGAGAGGAAGAGAGAGAAATCCATGTGAGAGAGAAACTTCGATCGGATTTGTTGCCTCTCCTATGCACCCCAACTGGGGCTGGAACCCACAAACTTAGGTATGTGCCCTGACCAGGAATCCAATTGGTGACCTTTTGGTGCAAGGGATGATGCTCAACCAACTGAGCCACACCAGCCAGGGCAAGTAATAATTATTTTTTTTAGGCAGAGAAGAAGGGAGGGAGGCAGAGAGGGAGAGAGAAACACTGATGTGAGAGAAACTTCAATTGGTTGCCTCCCACACTGGGATCTAACCTACAACCCAGGCACATTCCCTTGTCTTGAAATCAAACCCATGACCCCTCTGGGAGTGTGGACTGATGCTCCAACCACTGAGCCAAACCAGCCAGGGCAGTAATAATTTTTTTAAATGATTTATACCTTTTGGGACAGATCCATGGGATCTAAATAGCAGTTTTACAGCCTGAAATTTTTATTAAATTGCAAAAGCTGGAAAAATATAAAAATAAATAAATTAACCATTAAAAAAATACCTAATGCTGACCACGGAAACTTAATCTCATTGAGTTGGAAGGCAAGCAGGGTTATAGGCAAGGTGTTTACTACCAAGATAAAGGAGTTAGGATGCTGATGAATTTGGTGGTGCACAAAGTGGAGGCAAGGATGCTGAGGAGGAGGAAGAAACCAAGGAAGAGAGGAGATGGAAGGGCAGGAACCTGCTTGACTGCAGTGTTAAGCCCAGGTTTAGTGAGGGGGTCCAGATAGGAAAAAACCCATTCACTCAGTTCCCTATTACTATCATTGTATCATCAAGTGAGTGGCTGGGCTGTTTGCGGGTTAAGAACCTTTCTATAGCCCTGGCCAATTTGTCTCAGCAGTTGAGCGTTGGCCCGTAGACCAGAGAGTCCCAGGTTTGGTTCCCACTAGGGGCACGTACCACAAAAGAAGAAGAAGAAGAAGGAGGAGGAGGAGGAGGAGGAGGAGGAGGAGGAGGAGGAGGAGGAGGAGGAGAACCACAACAACAACCTTTCTATAGCAAAGATTCCACAATCAAGTACATCTGTTAATCACTGTGGCACCCTTTCTAAACTTGATGCAACTATCCCACTATTATTCTCTGCTTCTGGCTTTCAAATGTGGACTACACATGGCATATCTTGGCTGTTGATATGTCCCGTGATCAGATTAGCTCACCAAACTCTCAGCAGACCAGAACCAGGCCAAAATACCATATAGATCTCAGTGTTCAGAACTGGAGCAATTTCTAATCTCTATCAAGTAAGAAGCAGTGTGGTGTTAGTTAAGAAGAGGCTAACACACCCTGGCCGGTTTTGCTCAGTGGTTAGAGTGTTGACCTGCGCTCCTGAGAGACCCAGGTTCGGTTCCTGCTAAGGGCATGTACCTCGGTTGCAGTTTGTCCCCGGCCCTGGTTGTTCTTGCGGGTGGTAGCCACTTGATGTGTCCCTTTCACATTAATGTTTCTCTCTCTCTCTCCCTCTCTCTCTCTCCTTCCCACTCTATCTGAATGGAAAAATGTCCTTGGGTGAGGATAAAAAAAAAAAGAAGAAGAGGTTAAC